GCGATTTCCATATGAATAATGGCTAACATGTTAAAATCACATAGGGATATATTAAATTATAAACAATAATAGTTTTTTTGTTTTATGCTGGATAACACACCTGTAATGGCGTGGTGGGAGAAGGCTTCAACGTAGGTCAAGTAGTTGTGTGGACAGTGTTTCTTCAGCCATCTGCACACATCCTGCTGAGACCACAAAACCACTGGCCTGGAGAGACACGGCAAGGTTGGGCTGGTGTGGTAAACAGAGTACGATTCACCTGAACGTAACTGAAATACAAAGAAACAGAGCATGGGAAAGAGAGAGACAGGGAAACTAATTTAAATATGCAGTTCACAGCGAAGCTGTATTGAAAAACAAATCTCAAAATGTGACTGAATTGTATGCGTCCTTCTGGAGTCCTACCACGCATGAATGCCCAACTTTTTATAGCAATACTAATCTGAAATCAATCTCTTGCAGAATAAAAAAATGTTTATAAACAGATAAACAGCTCTCCTTTCTGCTAAGACCTCTGGGAAATATAATTTTTTTTTAAATAACTGTGTTCCATGTCATGCACCGGCAGTGATTGAGATGGATGTTTTCATCTTACACAGCCATCTGATTGGCTGCCTAACGGACACGGCCATGATTCTGCACATCGAGCTGTATAAATGAAGGCCATTCTAGAATGATTAGCATTTGTTACGATGGCTGCGCTAGTGACATGAGCCACAATAACACTCGCTTGACCTTCATCACACACTTCCATATGATCACAGACTAATTATACAAAATCATCCTGCAAAGATAATTCCAGCAAATCATCCACATTTAGAGCTACTGAGTGTATATGAGAGCTAATGAAACTGAGTTTAATGCATCTGTGACATACAATATTATGATGTTTGTTTACTGTGACACCAAAGAAGCATTGCTAATATTCACACCACAGTTCAGAAGTTTGGGGTCAGTAAAATTTTATTTGAAAGAAAATAATTTTATTTGGCAAGGGTGCAACCAATTGATCAAAAGTGACAGTGAAGACATTTATAAATTACAGAAGATTTTTATTTCAAATAAATGCTATATATTCTTGAAAGAATCCTAAAAAAAAAAAGCTATCATGGTTTTCACAAAAATGTTAAACAGCACAACTGTTTTCAACAGAGTGTCAACAGAGACTTAAACAAAAATAATAATAAAACATAAAAAAAGAACATCTGACCGACCCCAAACTTTAATATCATAAAACTTCCAAAGTGACCCCAAAAATGGAGTGTGCTGGGCTCATGGATAAATGAAAAACAATGCGATGTGCAACTGATAAGTATTATGTGCCCTTGTCCATTGGTGTTGAACACTGTGTATCCAATCAAACTCTACTTTATTATATTCTATAATAAATACATTATTATTTATATATTATATTTGACTATTTTCTAATGTGCTAGGTTGCCGTAAATTCTGGTGACTTGTTTCACAAATAGTTTCATTCCCTGTGTTTTGCATATTTTCTTCCCTTTCCTTAGTGTTCCATTTCATTAACAGTCATTTATCCTCAGAAAATCACAGCCCTCTATTTTCCCACTTCTCCCTCTATTTGTTCTGTTTTTCTAAGCCATTTGCCGCCATCTGTACCCCATCCCTCAAGTTCATCTTCAATTTTCTTTCTCCTTCACAGTTTTTGCACCATCTCTACTGCTCTCTCTCTCTCTTTCTCCCTCAGGCAACTTTCTACTTTATGCCTTTGCTGTGTTTGCCCTTGAGGGCAGTGGGGAATTCTTTCTTCTGCAACTGAAGGAAATCGCACACATACATTCTTGCACTGCACATACATGTATACATGCATGCATGCACACATAAAGGCTGAATAAATGACTGTTCCACTCAGCTGGTCCTGGGCAGGATGCACATCTCTCCAGCAACTGTCTTTGTAGGGCATAAGAACACTGCGGTCCCTCTATGGCTGTAGAACCCCTCTTAAAATAATAGTTCGCCTAAAAATGAAAATGTACTCACACTTTGGAAATTCAAGATGTAGATGAGTTTGTTTCTTTATCAGAGCAGATTACATTACATGCTCACCAATGGATCCTCTGCAGTGAATGGGTGCAGTCAGAATG